ACCACTGCATTAGAGCTTCTACGTCTATGTATTCCAACCTCATCTTTTTACTATTTTATGTCTTATGAAATTCATAATTTGTTAGTCCAGTTGTACATTTGTGGAGTTTATAAATAACTACATATTTAAATAAATAGATTATACTAGAGGCCTGGTGCATGACATTGGGAAACTGGGGGGGTCCCTCAGCCTGGCCTGTGCCCTCTCGCAGTCTGGGACCCCTCAGGGGATGTCTGACTGCCTCAGAGGTGGGAGAGGTTCCCACCACTGCTCCCCAGCTGTGAGCCTGGCTTCTGGCTGAGCAGTGCTCCCCCTGGGGGAGTGCACTGACCACCATGGGGCAGCTTCTGAGTTGAGTGTCTGCCCCCTGGTGGTCAGTGCGTGTCATAGTGACCGGTTGTTCCGCCCTTCTGTTGATGTGCATATTAGCCTTTTATTATATAGGATTGGAGGTACACGTTAAGAATTCTTTTTACTGGTAGGATGTATGATTTAAAATAACTTTGAAGATCACCCTTCCAGGAAAATGACAGTCAAGAGGGGCAGTACCAAGCACGGTCAGAAGGTGGGACTGTCATTTGCTGAGGTGGGGAATTGGGAGGGGCCACAGGGGAGAGGGAGGAAGAAGGAGATGGACTCAATTAGGGGCTTGCTGATTTGTTGGGGATCCTGCACATCCTCCTGAAGTGTCAGAGGGGGCGAAGCTAGGCAAATCCGGCTTGGGGAAGGAAAGGCCCCTGGGGTCCTGGAGGGAAGGAGGTGTCTGGGACACACTGCTCCCAGCCAAGAGCATGCCCTGGCAGCTCAGAGCATCAGGAGCCTTCCAGGAGGGAGGAGGCCCAGCGAAGAGCTGAGTTGGGACAGTATCCCAGGGGCAGAGAAGGAAAAGTCTCCACGGGTGAGATCAGGTGAAGGCTGCAGCCTTTAGGGGGGGCTGGAGTTGAGGGGTTGTTGAAGGGATCGAGAGAAGACCCTTCCAAGTATTTCAGATGCTGCCTGGGCAATCCTGGACAATCACCCATCCTTCCCCCAAATGGGAACAGACACGGGATAGACACAGATCCCCGCCCCTCCGCACAAGAGCAGTGAGAATGCCCGGAAAAAGCAAACAGTTCTCCCGCTTCCCCCGACCCGGCCCACCTAGGAACATCTAGACCCACCCAGTCCAACAGAAATGGAAGCACCTACGGACCCACAGACTCCTCTCGGGACACAACCAGGCCACACCAATCCTAATTGCTGCTGGCGAGGGCCCGGGCGCCGCAAGACACAGGGGGCGCGCGAGGTCCCGCGAGCTGGCAGGTTCTACCCGAGCCTCCGCGGAGCTAAGTGTCGGCAAGGAAACTTGTGACCAGCGTCTGCGGTCTCCGCGGTCTCAGTGCAGACTTGCGGGATGAGATTGCGGCTGCGCGGAGGATTGGAGAAAGGAGGCAGGACAGCAAGCCATCCCCACCCTCCACCCACGGGGAGAGGGCCTCTGACCCCTAAATCTGGGAGCGGGTGGAGAGGCAGGGCGACCATCGGCCTGCTATAGATGTGTACCCCGAAGTGATTCTTAACGTTTTGGAAAGCTCCTTGTCCCAAGGGCGGGTGACTACGGAAGGGCCCGCTGGTCTGGGCCTTCGCCTGCTTTCAGCTGCCGCCACGAGGGTCCTGGTAAAGGGGTGGCAGTGGGAGCGTGGCTGGGAGGGTCACTGAGGGGGTTATCTGGGATCCACCAGCGGGAGGGGAGGCCTGTCCCAGAGACAGGGAGAGACAAACCTGGAGCCATGGGGAGTGACATACAAAATTTTATTATTATTTATTTATTATTATTATTATTTATTTCTCATGTGCACAATAAAAAAAAGGAAGAAAAAGAAAAGAATCAAAACGAACCGACGCGCTTCAAGTGGCCAAGGAGACCAGAGCTACAGGGGGGGCTGTCTCTCGAGGGTTCGGCTGGGTCTTGGCGCTGGTGCCCCCCCAGGACTGGAATGGGTCGAGCCTCGGAGTTCGAACCTCGGTGCCCTTGCCGCCCCGCTCAGGCCCCTGGAGCCTGGCTAGGCGCCGGTTGTTCCCTTAAACTATTCTCTTTTCTCGTTTTCCTTTTTAAATAAAAAAAAGGCTCGAAGGGGAGAGAGATCTGGGCGAGGACGCCAAGCCTTTCGTATTTGTTTAAGAATTTTTATTTATTTATTTATTTTCACTTTTATTGACTTTGTTTCTGTTATTTCGAGTCGTCACGATCCA